CCCTTGCCCTCTCCTCTCCTCCGTCCCATGTCATACCTCCTCCCTGACCTTCCCCCGTGTGACCTCATCTGTCACGCCTCTCATGGCTCCTCCCCTTGCTGTGTCCTCTCCTCCAGGTTGGCTTGTCTGTTCCTGAAGAGAGGAGCCGACATTAACGCCTTGGACAATGAGAAGAAGGACGTTCTCTCCATCGCCATAGAAACAGCCAATGCCGACATTGTAACCTTGTGAGTCGGGGGAGGGGATTCTGGGAAATGATGGGATAAGAATGTCACATGGTACAGCTAGAGATGCATGTCGGGTCCGCCCGCCATCTATGTATGTAGTAATGTGATGTCCTTGGGGCCACCCTGACCAATGGGAGGGCCACAGACGGGGTGAAGGTATGTTATAGGAAAGGTCATGGAGGGCCACAGACGGGGTCAAGGTATGTTATAGGAAAGGTCATGGAGGGCCACAGACGGGGTCAAGGTATGTTATAGGAAAGGTCATGGAGGGCCACAGACGTGGTCAAGGTATGTTATAGGAAAGGTCATGGAGGGCCACAGAAGGGGTGAAGATATGTTATAGGAAAGGTCATGGAGGGCCACAGAAGGGGTGAAGATATGTTATAGGAAAGGTCATGGAGGGCCACAGAAGGGGTGAAGATATGTTATAGGAAAGGTCATGGAGGGCCACAGAAGGGGTGAAGATATGTTATAGGAAAGGTCATGGAGGGCCACAGAAGGGGTGAAGATATGTTATAGGAAAGGTCATGGAGGGCCACAGAAGGGGTGAAGATATGTTATAGGAAAGGTCATGGAGGGCCACAGAAGGGGTGAAGATATGTTATAGGAAAGGTCATGGAGGGCCACAGAAGGGGTGAAGATATGTTATAGGAAAGGTCATGGAGGGCCACAGAAGGGGTGAAGATATGTTATAGGAAAGGTCATGGAGGGCCACAGAAGGGGTGAAGATATGTTATAGGAAAGGTCATGGAGGGCCACAGAAGGGGTGAAGATATGTTATAGGAAAGGTCATGGAGGGCCACAGAAGGGGTGAAGATATGTTATAGGAAAGGTCATGGAGGGCCACAGAAGGGGTGAAGATATGTTATAGGAAAGGTCATGGAGGGCCACAGAAGGGGTGAAGATATGTTATAGGAAAGGTCATGGAGGGCCACAGAAGGGGTGAAGATATGTTATAGGAAAGGTCATGGAGGGCCACAGAAGGGGTGAAGATATGTTATAGGAAAGGTCATGGAGGGCCACAGAAGGGGTGAAGATATGTTATAGGAAAGGTCATGGAGGGCCACAGAAGGGGTGAAGATATGTTATAGGAAAGGTCATGGAGGGCCACAGAAGGGGTGAAGATATGTTATAGGAAAGGTCATGGAGGGCCACAGAAGGGGTGAAGATATGTTATAGGAAAGGTCATGGAGGGCCACAGAAGGGGTGAAGATATGTTATAGGAAAGGTCATGGAGGGCCACAGAAGGGGTGAAGATATGTTATAGGAAAGGTCATGGAGGGCCACAGAAGGGGTGAAGATATGTTATAGGAAAGGTCATGGAGGGCCACAGAAGGGGTGAAGATATGTTATAGGAAAGGTCATGGAGGGCCACAGAAGGGGTGAAGATATGTTATAGGAAAGGTCATGGAGGGCCACAGAAGGGGTGAAGATATGTTATAGGAAAGGTCATGGAGGGCCACAGAAGGGGTGAAGATATGTTATAGGAAAGGTCATGGAGGGCCACAGAAGGGGTGAAGATATGTTATAGGAAAGGTCATGGAGGGCCACAGAAGGGGTGAAGATATGTTATAGGAAAGGTCATGGAGGGCCACAGAAGGGGTGAAGATATGTTATAGGAAAGGTCATGGAGGGCCACAGACGGGGTGACGGTATGTTATAGGAAAGGCCATGGAGGGCCACAGCAAGGTTCTCAGCGTCATCTCTGCTTCCTGAAGTGGCCCCTGCGATGGGTTCCCTGAGGGCCCCGCTCCCCATGGCATGTAATGATTGACGGGCGGCTGTGTCATGGAGTTAGAATCTGTCATTCAGTAACGTGATGAAAAACAAAGCCGTGTTCTGGGACAAAGGTCAGCGTGTGAACACGTATGTTGTGCTGACTCTGCAGTCCGTCTGTTCCGCCGCCATGTCAGGTGACCGTTACAGGTGTCATCCAAAGGATCCATGCACCCCGACATGTTTCACGCTCTGGGTGCCGGCTCTCAGCTCACCATCTGCCTTAGGAGAGAAGGAAGCCGCGGCCGTTATTCCACCGGGGTCACCTGACCACCGACGCGTTTCATCCTATTCATGGGGTGGGAGGACGGCTTCATACACATCAATACCGGAAACTTCAATTGCCCCTCCCTCCCCCTAAGGCGCATGTGACCCCTGTCTGTCCCTCCCATCACTGGGGTCCGGGGCAGTGACTCCATAGGGCCAGGGGGGGGCGGCCGCTCAGTCATTCTGCCCCCCCCCCGTGACTTGGCTGTTATTGGCCCATCAACCTAACTCTACGAATAAGCTCTTAGTGAGTGAAATGCGTCAGTGGGAGGAGCTTGGGGTGGCCTGTCATACACCAGGTGGAATGATAAACCGAGATCATGGCTGACCCAGACTGTGGCTCTTTCCTTCCTGCCAATCAGGCGGGTCCGGGATGATGGTCATGACATGTGACTGCTCTGCAGGGGCGGGGCATTGTGTGTGAGACTGCTTTGCAGGGGCGGGGCATCACAGAAAGGTGATCATCACTTACTCCGCCCAGATGTCTGTGGATTTACCAACAGAACCAGAAATGTGATGACATCAGCCACTCCCCCCCCTCCCCCGTGTGCCATCCGATTATAAGTCACATGACTCTGTAGGAAGGGGCGGGGCACTAACACACACGTGTCTGCTGATGAATGTTGTGGGCGGAGTCAGACTATAACTGTGATGTCTTCCATCTTAGGCTGAGACTGGTGAAGATGAGGGAGGCGGATATCGCTCTTGGCCAGGCCGGTGAGTATGTCGGGGCATGAAACATGTTGTGGGTGGTGGGAGGGGTCATACTCAGGAGTGGGCGGGGTATATACAGGAATGGAAGGTGGTATATATATATATATAAATGGGTGGGGGCATACACCGGAGTGGGTGGGGCATACACAGGAATGGGAGGTGTTATATACATAAATGGGCGGGGCATACACAGGAGTGGGTGGGATATATACAGGAATGGGAGGTGGTATGTATACATGAATGGGTGGGGCATACACAGGAGTGGGTGGGGCATACACAGGAATGGGAGGTGGTATGTATACATGAATGGGTGGGGCATACACAGGAGTGGGCGGGGCATACACAGGAGTGGGTGGGATATATACAGGAATGGGAGGTGGTATGTATACATGAACGGGCGGGGCATACACAGGAGTGGGTGGGGCATACACAGGAGTGGGTGGGGCATACACAGGAATGGGAGGTGGTATGTATACATAAATGGGTGGGGTATAGACAGGAGTGGGCGGGGCATACACAGGAGTGGGAGGTGGTATGTATACATGAATGGGCGGGGCATACACCCCATTGGGCGGAGTCTTACCAGCATGTGGCCCTTCTCGCACACAGGGGACGAGACGTACATGGATATATTCCGGGATTTCTCGCTGATGGCGTCGGATTCCCCTGAGAAGTTGTCCCGGAGACCCTGCGACATGCGTCTGAGCACTCTGTGAGGGGGCCGGCGGTGGGCGGGTCCCCGGCGGTGGGCGGATCAATAACTCTGACGCTGCTTTCTAATAAATAGCCATTTTATTGATGACATGGGAGCTCAGTGTTAGCGGTGTGTGATGATGTCACAGCGCAGGGGGCGGGGCCAGTGCCGGCTGTACTAAGGCACGGTTCCCTGAGCTCTGATGAAGACATGACATATGGAGGTAGATTGGCTCCGCCCCTATATTCCACCAGCGATGGATGCCCCGCCCAGCTGGTGCCATTGGTCACGATCAGTCTCTCTTTGGCCGCCGGTCCGTTGGCGCTTTGTGGAATCCTGCTCTCTGATTGGCTGCGCCTGCAGAGGGCTCCGGGGAGGGTGAGGATGATGATGGCTCCGAGGATGAGGAAGACGCCACAGATGATGAAGGAGATGGAGAAATCTCCCGTCCAATCCCGGAGCCAGCCTGGAGGAGAGATACGGGGAGTGGTGACATCATCACCCTGTGTATACAATCCTCTAACACTCTCTGCAATAAATGTGTCATGGCTGAAAACTCCCCGACTGCTTCCTGGGGGGGGCGGGGATAACTGGCTATGGCTCCGCCCCCAACTGCACCATCTATACATCTCTGGCCCCCTCTAACAGTCTCCGCCCCTTCTCTGGCCCCCTCTAACAGTCTCCGCCCCATCCATGGCCCCCACTGACAGTCTCCGCCTCATCCATGGCCCCCTCTAACAGTCTCCGCCCCATCCATGGCCCCCTCTAACAGTCTCTGCCCCATCTCTGGCCCCCACTGACAGCCTCCGCCCCATCTCTGGCCCCCTCTAACAGTCTCCGCCCCATCCATGGCCCCCTCTAGCAGTCTCCGCCCCATCTATGGCCCCCTCTAGCAGTCTCCGCCCCATCTATGGCCCCCTCTAGCAGTCTCCGCCCCATCCATGGCCCCCTCTAGCAGTCTCCGCCCCATCTCTGGCCCCCTCTAGCAGTCTCCGCTCGACACTCTCCACCATCTGCAGCAGTCCCAGTGCAGGGAGAACCTTCTCCGTTCCCACCACCAGGGGCAGGCAGGAGAAGACGCCGGGGGTCAGGGCCCCAGCGCTAAATCCATAGGCCACGGCGGCCACGCCCATCCCCACCTCATTACCCGCCAGTGGGAGGAGCCCCAGGACCAGGGCGGTCAGTCCGGTCCAGAAGCTGAGGTGGAGCAGGACGCGTTTCGGGGTGAGATCGGCCAGCCAACCGGCGAACAGGCGTCCCGCCACGTCGGCCACGCCCACCAGGGACATCAGCACCGCGGCCAGGCGCTCCCCCACCCCCCTCAGCCGCATGTGGGCCACCAGGTGGAGGTAGGGCACAAAGTAGGCGGCGTTGATGAGGGTGATGGCCAGGCAGTACCGCATGAAGGACCAATCACGGAGCAGCTCCCACCCCCACAGGAAGGAGCGCTGAGGCTGGGGGGGCCCCGAGCTGAGCGGACGCAGGAGGGCCCCGCAAGGCACCGAATGAAGGGTGACGGCGGAGAGCAGGAGCATGGCGCCCCGCCAGGAGAACGTCTCCACCAGGAACTGCAGGAGGGGCGTCAGCGCGAAGGAGAAGACCCCGCAGCCCGTCAGCACAAAGCCCGTGGCCAGAGTCCTCCTGCGCGAGAAGTGGGAGGTCACCGCCGCCATGGAGGGGGAGAATATCAACGCCCAGCCGAGACCTGCGGAGAGACAAAGGGGTTACCCGGGGCAACGGCACCTCCCACATGACACGCCCCCTGCAGGGTGATACCAGTCTCCTCCTCCTGCAGGGTGATACATAGAAGGGAGCTATGAGTCTCCTCCCCCTGCAGGGAAAGGAGATGCAGGAGGGGGGAGGTGTATAGAAGCCCCGCCCCCTGTACATGGAGGAGGGACTTACCTGACACGACCCCTATGCTGAGGTAGAGTTGGTAGAGTCCGGTGGAGAAGGAAGCGAGGAGCATCCCCAGAGAGGAGAGGATCCCGCCCAGGATGACGACGCGCCGGAA